GTCAGAAGTAGGAAGAAAAATAAGTAATGGAGTAAAGTATAGATACCTAAAAAGTGTACTTAAGTACGAAGTATTTGTACTTCGTTACTTGACACCTCTGGTCTGGAGTAGCGTGGGGCTCCAGGTTTTATAGAGTAAAAGGCTGGTAATCCTCCTGCAGCAGTGTGTCTCAGTGAGCTTGTCGCAGATATTTTTGATTTATGCCCGATATTGAAGCGTGGTCTGTGCTGTGTTATTCCACGCCACAACGCAAGAGGGACGATCAGGAACTAGCTGTGGGTTTAGATACGGCCGAGGCGGTGAGGAAGTGGGGGCAAGTTTGTGCTTCAACAGAGGGACATGAGGGCGAAAAAGAGCGGGGATCCAGGTGGAAAAAGGGTCCCAGCGTTCTCGTGCACCTCGCTCTTCTAGCTGGTCCATCTTCATCAGTCGTTTTCCACAATGGCGGTCACACAAACAAAACAAACCGATAAGGTACAGGAAATACACATAGCGTAGAGTGGATGTAGATTTGACCAATCAGAGGCCTCCTGTCTGCAGTCACCTACAATTTTGGAGAGCTGCAGCAGTTATCTGAGCATAACCAGCTTTAACCCAACAAAAGCCTTGTTATGGCTTAGAAAACATGCAAATTCGACTGGTCCACCCCTTTGTAATGGGGAGTCGTTAGGGACTTTATTGGGCTGGCTTATGGCCACGATGTTTTGACCACCTGCATGGTGATGAGGATGGGGGGATAGTGGGAAGGGATCAACTCTAAAACTGTGTTATAGAGCTGAAACCTGAGTCCACCCCCTCTGTTTGAGGTTGGTTTTTCTCTCTTAACATAAATGGCTTCCTTTACACCCCCTTTAAACCATCTGTCTTCTTTGTCCAAAATGTGAACATTCTGGTTCTTAGATGAATGTCCTTTGTCTTTAAGGTGTAGGTGGACAGCAGAATGGACAGAGAACAGAAAATCAAGATTTCAAATTTATAACAGGATTAATACAGTACATTTTTCACAATAATAAACACAAACTTCAATGTTGGCAGTTGCTAATCTGTTTTTACCCATTTAAAAAAGTCAAAAGAAGTTTTGAATTTACTTCAATCATTTTTTCTGGTCCAGATAAGCTTCATTCTACAAAGAAATCAAAATCTAAACATAAAAGCTGGATCAATGTTAGGGATTTAATATTCATGCATACATAATAAAAGGCTTTATTTCTGATTAATCACATTAAAACATCATTTTTACATATCACTTATGCCCTCTCTTTATGTTTGGTTTTAAAACGCATAAAGAGTCCTGCAGCGGGTCAGATATCAGCGGTTATCCTTGTTGGTACTTGTATAAAACGTAAAAAAAAAACATATTATTTTGCGGGTATTGGTATAAATGAACAAAATGCAGGTATCATAGTGTTACAGCTTCAATGAAAGATATTTATATTTTTTATTAACTCAACATCTTAAAAAATAAATTGATTTCAAGAATATCCAGATATCAGTATTTTTTTTTTAAGCAATGAGGCAAAACTTATGAGCGCAGATCGCACTGGATGTGAGCGTGAAGCAATGTTCTTTTGTCTCTATTATTATAAATGGCTGCTTAGAGCCGCTTCAGATGTTATCATCCCATTAAATGACCAATATTAGGCTTAGCAGGTTGTTATCACCAAATTAATCCTAACCCTAAGTTAATTCCTTTTTTACCTGCAGAATTAATGATTGATTAATTATGTTCTATTTATCTGTAAACTGAGCATAATTGTAGTAGTTCTTTATCTATTGTAAAAAGAAAAGTTGATTGACATGTCGCTCATATCGAACAACCACTCCCAAAAAAATCCCATATCCTCTCCGCTGAGCTGTTTTTAAACACCACATTAAAGGAATAGTACACCCAAAACATGATTAGCCTTCATTTTCTACTCACCCCCATGCTGAACAACACTCT